GAGGAGGAGGGTGAGGGAGAGTAGAGGAGAGTGGGGCCATACACTGATCTATAGAGGATCTGTAGACTGATCTGAAAGCTCAGTGCTTGACACAGATGGTGAACTATGGCAGACGTCCGCAACAACACATTTCCCAGTTGCCGTATGTAATCTCTGTGCGAATTCTTGAGGTATCTGTGGATTCAACCAGTCAGTGGTAGAATGAAGTCACTCACTGTATTCAGATCTGCAGTAAAGTCTTGGAATGACAGATTAAGGCATAGTCCTCTTGGTTGAATTTCAGAGAAGTGTCTAAATTTAGTTCCCTCCCCAATTGTGCTCCAGTTATTTTGCACTGTGTGTGCCTCAGCCCGGCCTGTAAACTCCGGCCATAACATCAACATACTTCACCTCCTCACAGCCGCCAAGATCTAAAGAAAGAAATTGTGTTTATAGAGTCTTATCTCAACCCAAAGCACTCATTGTGCAGTCCTGAGCTCAGTGGTTCGAGCCCTCGCCTCACAAACCGGAGGACCCGGGTCCAATTCCCAGACAAGATGAAACCTTAGGCGAGTTTCCTCGCTCCCCACGGGTCTGTTTACCAGCAGTTAGTAGGAACCTGATTTGCTGGGTGGTTGTTGGTGACTTGGCCCAGAGAGAGAGAGAGAGCGAGAGGGCAGGAGTAGACCGCGGAGACCTGGTATCAGGGAGTAGCTGGTGGTCGCACCAGAAGCTGATGAAGTCCTTGGCGGCTCCAGGTATTCCCCTCAGCCCAGGCTCCCCCTCACCCCACATGTGTCCACAGCCCAGGCTCCCCCTCACCCCACATGTGTCCACAGCCCAGGCTCCCCCTCACCCCACACGTGTGTCCACAGCCCAGGCTCCCCCTCACCCACATGTGTGTCCACAGGTCAGGCTCCCCCTCAGCCCACACGTGTGCTGAGCCAGTGGTGGGCACAGCCCAGGACACGATGCCACAGGCGGAGGCGGCAGAGCAGGAGGTTGAGCAGGAAGATCCCCGCGGTCAGGTACACACTTATCACCGTGCTCTCCTTGGGTAGGAAACACTTGGAGAATGCAAAGTCCTTTGCTGTCAAGGTGGCCTGGAGGAGAGAGAGCGGAGAGAGAGAGAGAGAGAGAGAGAGGAGAGAGAGAGAGAGCAGAGAGAGGGAGAGAGCGGAGAGAGAGAGAGAGAGAGAGAGAGGAGACATGTGTTAAGGTTTTTGTTGTTCTTAATTCAGTGACGAGCTGTCAGGGGAGTTTGTGTATAAATGCGTCCGGGATATTGACAGCGATGGTGACTTAAGCTGCAGCGGAGAGTTACACCAGGGCCAGGGCCAGAGCCAGGGCCAGGGCCAGGGCCAGAGCCAGGGCCAGGCCAGAGCCAGGGCCAGAGCCAGAGCCAGGGTCAGGGCCAGAGCCAGGGCCAGGGTCAGAGACAGGGTCAGGGCCAGAGCCAGGGCCAGAGCCAGGGTCAGAGTCAGGGCCAGAGCCAGGGCCAGAGCCAGGGTCAGGGCCAGGGTCAGGGCCAGGGTCAGAGCCAGGGTCAGGGTCAGAGCCAGGGTCAGGGTCAGGGCCAGGGCCAGGGCCAGGGTCAGGGCCAGGGTCAGAGCCAGGGCCAGAGCCAGGGCCAGGGTCAGAGCCAGGGTCAGGGCCAGGGTCAGGGCCAGGGCCAGGGCCAGAGCCAGGGCCAGGGCCAGGGCCAGGGTCAGAGCCAGGGTCAGGGCCAGGGTCAGAGCCAGGGTCAGGGTCAGAGCCAGGGTCAGGGCCAGGGTCAGGGCCAGGGTCAGGGCCAGGGCCAGGGTCAGGGTCAGCTCATGATGATAATAATCCTCACATTTGATACAGAGCCTGATCACGTCGTTCAGACGTCTCAAAGCGCTTCACAGAATACACTGTAAAGTACAGTGACTGTGTATTTTGTGGGTGTCCCACAAACAGTGGTCAAGTGAGTGATGTACGTTTTCACCCAAAGATAGTGGGAATCTGGAACTCTCGCCCCCATTAGGCTGTGGAGGCGTTCACATCCATTCAGATTTCTAAGCCTGCGGTGGAGATGGTTGTGAGGTCAGGGTATTAAGGGATACGGGGCAAAGGCAGGTGATTGGAGTTGAGGTACAGATCAGCCATGGTCTGATAGAATAGCGGAACAGGCTCGAGGGGCTGAATGGCCTCCTCCTGTGCCTATGCTTGCTGCATATTGAAAGCCGGGCACTGTTTTCTCACTCACATTGGCCGTTTCACTCTGACGCGAAATGGAATAGGCGTCTCTTCGTGTCGCAAAGATTATTACCCCCTGAAAGCAGTCTGCAAATCAAATAACAAACAGGTTCCTACTCAGTGCTGGTAAACCGAGGTGTGTGGAGTAAGGAAACTTGCCGATGGTTTCGGTCACTCAATCCACAGCTGTTTGTGGGACGTTGTGGGACGCTGCTGTACAACAAGAAGAAGATTCCATTTATAGAACGCCTTTCACGTCATGAGGACATCCCAAGGCGCTGGTCGGGACCCGAGCATTGGAGGAAATGGTCAGGGTGAGGGGAGGGAGGGAGCGTGGAGGGGGGAAATGGTCAGGGCGAGGGGAGGGAAGGGAGGGAGCGAGGAGGGGGGAGATGGTCAGGGCGAGGGGAGGGAAGGAAGGGAGCGAGGAGGGGGGAGATGGTCAGGGTGAGGGGAGGGAAGGGAGGGAGCGAGGAGGGGGTAGAGAGTTGAGAGCGGAGCTGAAGGCTGAAGGTCAAAGAGAAAGGTTTTGAGACCGGCCTTGAAGGAGGAGAGGGAGGAAGCGGCGAAGGCACTGGGGATGGAGTTCCAGAGCCTCGGGGCTGAGAGGCTGAAGGCCACCGATGGTAGGGCGGTTGGGGCGGGGGATGTGGAGCAGACCGGAGCCAGAGGGACGGAGGGTACGGGCAGGTGAGTGGGGGATAGTAGGTCGGAGAGGTAGGAGGGAGCGAGGCCGTGAATGGCCTTGTAGGTGAGGATGAGGATCTTGAATTCGATCCTCTGGGGGATGGGGAGCAGTGGAGGCGAGTGAGGGCAAGGGTGAGGGTGAGGGCGAGGGTGAGGGCGAGGGTGGGAGTGAGGGTGAGGGCGAGGGTGAGGGCGAGGGTGGGAGTGATGTGGTCGCGGTGTCTGGTGCGGGACAGTACATGAGCTGCAGAGTTCTGAATGACCTGCAGTGTGGAGGGAGGGCCGGGAAGGCCGACGAGGAGAGAGTTCCCATAGTCCGGCCTTGAGGTGATAAAGGTGCGGACCAGAGTTTCAGCCGCGTGAGGGGTGAGGTAGTGCCGTAGTCTCTGGCGATGTTCCGGAGGTGATGGAAGGCGGTGCCAGTTGTGGGGATATGAGGGAGAAAGGACAGCTCAGGGTCGAACAGAACCCCGAGGTTCCTGATGGCTTTGAGAGGTGGAGAGTGCGGAGCTGATGCTGTCAGCGCCTGAGGTGCGGAGGCACTGACGTGAGCCAATAAAGAGGGCCTCGGTTTTGCGCACGTTGAGCTGAAGAAAGTTGTCTCTCGTCCAGGAATCGATGTCGGACAGACAGTTGTCAGGACATCGGGGGTCGTGGAGTTGAGGGTAGAAGAGGAAAGGTAGAGTTGGGTGTCATCCGCATACATGTGGGAGTGAACCCCATGTCTGCGGATGATGTCGGTGGGACGGAGGAGTCGGGATGTGGTGGAGAACAGTAGCCTGGGGTTGTTCTTCGCCTCCAGGATACTCCTGGAGTAGAAGGATGACTTGGCCGAGGTTAGAGTGGAGCGGTAGATTTTGAGGAGGTCCAGCCAGATTTGTCGGTGGACCGTTAGGCCAGATTTGACACAGGTGCGTTCAGCGGTCCGCACCTGGCTTTTCAGTGAGCGGAGGTGGGTGGTGTACCAGGGGGAGGAGCGGGAGTAGGAGACAGTACGGGAGGTGATGGGGGCAAGAGTGTCAAGTGTGGAGGAGAGGGTGTTGTGGAGGAGGGTGAGAGGAGAAGAGGGGTCAGTGAGGGTTGAAGGCCAGAGGGAGAGGAGTTCAGAGGACTCCAAGGCAGCGGTTAGGGATTGTGGGGGTAACTTCTTCCAGGGGCGGTAGAGGATGGTGGTGGGTCTGGTGGAGGTGGGGAGGGGGGTGGAGGAGGTGAAGGAGATGAAGTGGTGGTCAGAGATGGCCTTGTCGGTGATAGTGACATCCGAGACACTGAGGCCCCGGGTGATCACCAAGTCGAGTGGGTGGCCGTGACTGTGAGTGGCGGAGTTGATGTGGAGGGAGAGGTACTCGCCTTGGAGGAGAATCAGCCATGATCTTATCGAATGGCGGGGCAGGCTCAAGGGGCTGAATGGCCTACTCCTGCTCCTAATTCTTCTGTTCTTATGAGATGTCTCAGACGTGATAAGGCGCTGTATGAAATACAAGGATTATTATTATCCCAAGTGTCGAGAAAGTGTCATCATTCAGGCTAAGACTAGGTGGAATTTTAAAGCTTGCGGGAGCTCAAGTTTTTTAGGGAACATTTTGAAACCACAAAATGTAGTGTCCACCCTTCAAACCCTTTCATTCTGGCGACTGCCATTGAGGATTATCATCAATGTGGACAGGAAAGGCTGACTGTAACCATCACATCATCACAAGGGGATTCCAACATCCTGTTGCCAAACATGTCACCTTGGAGCCAGTTCAGCCCCAAGGAGCCCCCACTTGGTTGAGTGGGTTGAGTTTTTCTGGGGGAAGGATTGTCCTGATAAGAAGCTGACGAGAAGCCGTTCTGATTTGCTGGGTGGTTGTTGGTGACTTGGCCCAGAGAGAGAGAGAGAGCGAGAGGGCAGGAGTAGACCGCGGAGACCTGGTATCAGGGAGTAGCTGGTGGTCGCACCAGAAGCTGATGAAGTCCTTGGCGGCTCCAGGTATTCCCCTCAGCCCAGGCTCCCCCTCACCCCACATGTGTCCACAGCCCAGGCTCCCCCTCACCCCACATGTGTCCACAGCCCAGGCTCCCCCTCACCCCACACGTGTGTCCACAGCCCAGGCTCCCCCTCACCCCACACGTGTGTCCACAGGTCAGGCTCCCCCTCACCCCACACGTGTGCTGAGCCAGTGGTGGGCACAGCCCAGGACACGATGCCACAGGCGGAGGCGGCAGAGCAGGAGGTTGAGCAGGAAGATCCCCGCGGTCAGGTACACACTTATCACCGTGCTCTCCTTGGGTAGGAAACACTTGGAGAATGCAAAGTCCTTTGCTGTCAAGGTGGCCTGGAGGAGAGAGAGCGGAGAGAGAGAGAGAGAGAGAGAGAGGGAGAGAGAGAGAGAGCAGAGAGAGAGCGAGAGGAGAGAGCGGAGAGAGAGAGAGAGAGAGAGAGTGGAGACATGTGTTAAGGTTTTTGTTGTTCTTAATTCAGTGACGAGCTGTCAGGGGAGTTTGTGTATAAATGCGTCCGGGATATTGACAGCGATGGTGACTTAAGCTGCAGCGGAGAGTTACACCAGGGCCAGGGCCAGAGCCAGGGCCAGGGCCAGGGCCAGAGCCAGGGCCAGGGCCAGAGCCAGGGCCAGAGCCAGAGCCAGGGTCAGGGCCAGGGCCAGGGCCAGGGTCAGAGACAGGGTCAGGGCCAGAGCCAGGGCCAGAGCCAGGGTCAGAGTCAGGGCCAGAGCCAGGGCCAGAGCCAGGGTCAGGGCCAGGGTCAGGGCCAGGGTCAGAGCCAGGGTCAGAGCCAGGGTCAGAGCCAGGGTCAGGGTCAGGGCCAGGGTCAGGGCCAGGGCCAGGGCCAGGGTCAGAGCCAGGGCCAGAGCCAGGGCCAGGGTCAGGGCCAGGGTCAGGGCCAGGGTCAGGGCCAGGGCCAGGGCCAGGGCCAGGGCCAGGGCCAGGGTCAGAGCCAGGGTCAGGGCCAGGGCCAGGGCCAGGGTCAGAGCCAGGGCCAGGGTCAGAGCCAGGGTCAGGGCCAGGGTCAGAGCCAGGGTCAGGGCCAGGGTCATGGCCAGGGTCAGGGTCAGGGCCAGGGCCAGGGTCAGGGCCAGGGTCAGGGCCAGGGCTAGGGTCAGAGCCAGGGCCAGGGCCAGGGTCAGGGCCAGGGTCAGGGCCAGGGCCAGGGTCAGGGTCAGCTCATGATGATAATAATCCTCACATTTGATACAGAGCCTGATCACGTCGTTCAGACGTCTCAAAGCGCTTCACAGAATACACTGTAAAGTACAGTGACTGTGTATTTTGTGGGTGTCCCACAAACAGTGGTCAAGTGAGTGATGTACGTTTTCACCCAAAGATAGTGGGAATCTGGAACTCTCGCCCCCATTAGGCTGTGGAGGCGTTCACATCCATTCAGATTTTCTAAGCCTGCGGTGGAGATGGTTGTGAGGTCGGGGTATCAAGGGATATGGCAAAAAGGCGGATGAATGGAGTTGAGGTTCAGATCAGCCACGACCTTATAGAATGGCAGAACAGGCTCGAGGGGCTGAATGGCCTCCTCCTGTGCCTATGCTTGCTGCATATTGAAAGCCGGGCACTGTTTTCTCACTCACATTGGCCGTTTCACTCTGACGCGAAATGGAATAGGCGTCTCTTCGTGTCGCAAGAGCCCTCGCCTCGCAAGCGAGAGGACCCGGGTTCGATTCCCGGGCGGTCAGAGCAAAACCTGAGGCAGGTTTCCTTACTCCACAAACCTCTGTTTACCAGTCAGTAGGAACCTGCATGTTAGTCATAAAAAATAATAATAATAGTCCACGACTGTTTGTGGGACACTGCTTTGCGCAATTGTCTGCCACGTTTCGCCCACAAAATATGTTCCAGTCATTAACTATCCTCAGGGTGAAGAAACACTTCCTGGCGTCTGTCCTGAAATTACCTCCTTTATCCTCTCGTGTAGAGGAAATAATGACACCCCCTTGTTCTACTGTCATTATTATGAGTTAGGATGTAATAATAATAAGAAACCTTGCATTTGATATATTTGATATACCTTATCACATTGAGACGTCTCAAAGCGAATCACAGAATATAATGTGAAGTGTAGTGACTGTGTATCTCGTGGGCAAAATGCGGCAGCCAATTGCACACAGCAGTGTCCCACAAACAGTCGTGGATTGAGTGACCCCTTTTTTTGGTGGGTTTATTACCCGCAGAAAGCGATCCACCAATCGACTAACAAGGATGTTCTTATACTGTGCAGTGTAAAGTGTAGTGACTGTGTGTGTGTGCGCGTGGCTGGTGTGCGGAGCGCGAGGCTGGTATTCGCTGCTCACCAGGAGGAAGCTGGGGTTGTTGCGGTTTCTCCAGCTGAAGGAGGGGAGGGTGATCTCCGGAACACGACCCTCCTCGTGCAGAACCAGACAGCCGCTGTGCGTGTGGCCACTGAGAATCAGCCGAGGGCCGAACCACTCCAACAGCTACAGCAAACCAGAGAGGTCATCATCATCATCATCATCATCATCACAATCACTGCAGGTCACATAGCGAGTGTGGACATTACCGCTGGACAGTAGAGGGCGGCACAGCCCAGCCTGACCTCTCGCCACCCGGCTGCCACACACACCAACAACAACAACAACAACCCCTGTGTTTGATATTCACTGTGTTTGTGTTGGGGATAGAGCTTAAAGCCCGAGAGTGACGGTGGGGGGGAGGGGGGCTCACCTTACTGGACGCTTCCTGTGACAGGACATCGTATCTCTCTCTGAAGAGCAGGTCCTTTTCCTCTGGGGGCGCAGAATCCTCCCCCGTACACCCGGCATCGCTGGCCCGATACAGAGGGTAATGCTGTAACACACCAGCAGGGGGCAGGTCAGGGAAAGCGCAAGAACGGCATAGGACATACATTAGAACCCATTAGAATATACAGCACAGAAACTCACCCAACTGGTCTGTGCCGGTGTTTATGCTCCACATGAGCCCCTCCTGCCCTTCCTCAACTAAGCCTTCAAGCCTAACCTTCTATTCCTTTCTCCCTCATGTACCTCTCGAGCTTTCCCTTAAATACATCTGTGCTATTTGTCTCAACAACTCCTTGTGGAGCATTGTTCCACATTCCCACTACTCTCTGTGTGAAGACATTTCTTCTAACTTCCCTATTTGATCTATTAGTGACTATTTTATATTGATGGCCCCTGGTTTGGGTTTCTCCCACAAGTGGAAACACCTTCCCTATGTCGACCCTATCAAAACCTTTCATCATTATCAGGTCACCTCTTACCCTCCTCTTTTCAAGAGAAGAGTCCAGGTATGTTCAGCCTTTCCTGATAGGTCTGACCTCTCAGTTCTGCGATCATCCTTGTGAATCTCCTTTGCACCCTCTCCAGTCTCTACATCCCTTCTATAATGTGGGAGCAGAACTGCACACAGTATGTAGGTGTGGACACAATACTTCACTGGAAGAAAGTAAACCGAGGTCCATCTCGGTGGCCTCCACCAATCTGGCAGTCGCTTGTCATGTCGTGTCCCAAACTATATACTGTATCTATCCCCAGATATCGTTGCCAAACAGAAATCTGTCTCTCATTTGTTCTTGAAACAAACACTTTCTGTTTCCACCGTTTGTCTGTCTCCCTCAGGAGTCTGTTCCATACCTTTACTAATCGCTTTCTCACTGAAGTAATGTTTCCCCAGATTTATTCTGGATTTACCCCCTTCAATCACAGGCCGTGTCCTCTGGTTCTACTGTTCAGTACACGATAAACAGCTGATCATGGTTTACATCAACAACCACATTAGCAACAAATTATATTTACACACACAGCTCCTTTCAGGTCGGGAGGATGTCCCAGGGTGCTGGACAATGAGGGGTATCCATACAGACCTGTCCCTCCCTCTACTCAGTGGGCTTCGGCCTGCTTTATGTCTTCCCCTGGCCTGCCCCACCATCAGCGGTCAGGCCTTCAGCCTCTCTGCCCCCACCATTTGGAACTCCATCCCACAGCCCCTTTGCCTCACTCACTCCCTCACCTCCTTCAAGGCCCGTCTCAAGACGCTCCTCTTCAACTCCACCATCCTACCCCCACCCTCCCCACCCTCCACCCCTCCTGATCCCAACCCCCAGCTCGGCTCCAAATCCCTGACTGTCCAGCACTTTGGGATGTCCTCCCGATGTGAAAGGCGCTGTGTAACTGTGATATGTTTTGTTGTTCACCCAAAGCTGTGGGCTGGATTCAAGAGGAGTGGAGTCACGTGTCGAAGAGGAGGGTTTTGAGATTAGCCTTGAAAGAGGCAAGAGCAACAACAACACCTTGCAGGGTAGCGTCTCAGAGCGCTTAGGAGGGGGCAAGGGAGGGAGCGAGGTGAAGGGATTGTGGGATGGAGTTCCAAAGGTTGGGGGCAGAGAAGCTGAAATTCTGACCGCTAATGGTCGGGCGGGAGACATGGAGCAGCCGGAGCCCACTGAGCAGAGGGAGTGGGCAGGTTGGTAGGGAGTCAGCAGGTCAGAGAGGTAGGAGGGGACAAGACCAGGGATGGCCTTGAAAGTGAGGACCAGGATCTTGGACTGTACCCTCTGTGTGATGGGAAGCCAGTGGAGTCGGGCGAGGATGGGGGTGATAGGGTCACGGAGCCGGTGCGGGAGAGGACACGGGCTGCAGAGTTCTGGATGATTTGCAGCCTGCGGAGGGAGGAGCTGGAAAGTATAGCGAATAGGTAACGACATCAACAACAACTTGCAATTATATAGCGCCTCTCACACCGGGTAACATCCCAGAGCACTTAACTGTGGTGGAGCACAAATCCGAGATGGGGTGGGGGGGGGCAGGTGACTGTAGGCCCGGTCGAATAGGATGGTCTTCAGGTGCGACCTGAAGATGGGGAAGGAGGGTGCCAGGCAGTGGGATATAGGGAGAGAGTAGTGGCTGAAAGTGCGGCCACCGATAGTGGGCACAAGGGACAAGCAGAAGGCCGGAGCCACCGCGACCCTCAGGCTAACGTGACAGGTTTGGCTGATTCAGTAGCTCTCGCAGTCTGGCTCAGAATGTTTAAGTGGTACTCAAGCTCACATTGTAGGCGACAACACAGTCACTGTGAAGAACAGAGTTTAGACGTTGACAGGATGTTAAACAAACGCAAGTACCTGCAACAGGACAGGGGCAGAGGCAGGAAAGCTCTCCTTCTCACTGCAGTTCTGGCCGGAGTCAGGATCCAGCTGTTGACAAGAGACAGTAAGAGACTCAGGGGCGCACACAGAACAGAATCACAGCATCTCACAGCACAGGAGGAGGCCAGTCGGCCCATCGTGAAAGAGCCACCAGCTCGCCTCGCTCCCCTGTGCTGACCCCACAGCCCTGCAAATATTTCCTTTTCAAGTAAAGTAATAATAATCGTAGCATTTGACACAGCGCCTTATCACTTCGTTGAGACTTCTCAAAGCTCTTGACAGACTATACCGTAAGATGAATTGACTGTATAATTTGTGGGTGAAACACAGCAGCCGATTGCGCACAGTAACGTCCAACAAACAGCCGTGGGCTGAAGTGACCAAATTATTATTATTATTTTTGAAGGGATTATTATCCCAGGAAAAGAGATCCACCAATCAACTAACAACCGGGTTCCCTACTTACTGTTAGGTAAACGGAGGCGTGTGGAGTCAGGAAACTTGCCCAAGGTTTCGCCCTGCCCGGGAATCAAACCCAGGTCCTAACGGCGAGTGCTCTAACCACTGAGCTGCAGGACTCTACTTATTATTAATATGGAAGGGCAATTTGCTGCTGGAGAATCCCTGAAGGCTGGTGGAGATTTTCCCCACCACTTTATATGTTAAAAATGCCCTCAAGTCCGCATGCCTATGCCAGCTCTTTGAAAGAGCTACCAAACTAGTCCCACGCCCCCGCGCTCTCCCCATAGCCCTCCAAATTTTTCCTTTTCAAGTACCTATCTAATTCCCTTTATAAGTTGTTATTGAATCTGTTTCCATCCCTTCCAGGCAGTGCATTCCAGACCGTAACAACTCTGTGTAAAATAATGTCTCCTCATCTCCCCTCTGGTTCTATTGACAATCATCTTCACTCCCTGCGCTCTGGTCACTGACCCACCGGCCACAGTGGAACAGCGTCTCCTTATTTACTCAATTAAACCCCTCATCATTGTGAATGTCTCTATTAAATCTCCCCTCAACATTCCCTGCTCTAAGGAGAACAATCCCAGCCTCTCTAATCTCTCCACATAATCACGCTTTAAACTAGACACAATTTCATGTTAGCGGAGGAGGGCTGTTAAAATGCTGACATTGCTAAACAATATACTAACTCAGAAGCATCTCCTAACCCCTCCACCCCAAATAAAGGAGATATCCCTAGCCATTCAGTAATATTAATAATAATCCTTGCATTGGATACAGCGCCTTATCACGTCTTCGAGACGTCTCAAAGCGCTTCACAGAATATATTGTGAAGTGAATTGACTGTATCTTTTGTGGGCGAAACACAGCAGCCAATTGTACACAGCAGCGTCCCACACACAGCCGTGGAGTGAGTGACCAAATTTTTTTTTTATTCAAGGGATTATTACCTCCGGAAAGTGATCCACCAATCGACTAACGACAGGTTCCGACTGACTGCTGGTAAACAGAGGTGCGTGGAGTAAGGAAACTTGGGTAAGGTTTTGCCCTGACCGGGAATCAAACCCGGGTCCCCGAGCTTGGGAGGCGAGGGCTCTAATCACAGAGCTACAGGACTACATAATGTTTAATATTAATATTGTCTGATAACCCGGATTGAGTGGGTCGCACATTACCTGTTGGGAACATTTCAAGGCTGTGGAGAGTCGGTGAAGTTCTGTCTCTACTTTGGTACAGATCGAACACTTGTCCCCGTGTAGAGCCACACTGTTCACAAGCACAAAACTGCAACACAGGACACGGTACAGTGTTATTATCATAACGATAAAATAATAATAACAATAATAATCATAATTCTTGCATTTGATACAGCGCCCATCATGTTGTTGAGACATCTCAAAGCGCTTCACAGGATACACTGTTATACGAACAATCAGGTTCCTACTCACTGCCGGTAAACAGCCGTGTGGAATAAGGGAACTAACTTGCCTAAGCCCAGGAATCGAACCCGGGTCCTCTGGCTTGCGAGGCGAGTGCTCTAACCCCTGAGCTACAGGACTCCAGTGAGTGAACCTTACTCTGTGATGTCCTGACAATGAGGAGACTTATTGACGGTTACTCACTTGATTCCTTTCCTGGTCACCACTTTGGCAGAGGTGAAGTTAAAGACCTTCTCGAAGCGCTGCAGTTTGTACCAGTTCATTCTGCAGGAAGTCAAAATGGGTCTGAAGTTTAATCAGTAACTCGGAGAGTTTAACAGTGGCAGAGCAAGGGGGAGGGGACCGTAGGCACGGTTTGAGAGGAAGGTCTTCAGGTGCGACCTAATAATAATAATAATAATCCTTGCATTTGATATAGCGTTTTTTCACGTCTTCTCGACGTCTCAAAGTGCTTCACAGGGTATGCTATAAAGTGAATTGACCGTATATATTTGAGGGTGAAACACAGCAGCCAATTGGGCACAGCAATGTCCCACAAACAGCCGTGGATTGAAATTACCAATTTATTATTGTCGTGTTTTGCAGGGATTATTATCAGGCGTGTGGAGTAAGGAAACTTGCCCAAGGTTTTCCCTCTGCTGGGAATCGAACTCAGGTCTTGTAAAGATGGGGAAGGAGAGGGCAAAGTGGGGGATTGAGGGAGAGAGTTCAAGATCACGGTTGCAATCCAGGGAATTCTGAGCCTGGGATTTGTAGACGAGTGAGAGGATCTTGAAATCGATTTGTTCTGTGATACAGTGGGGCCTGGCGAGGGCTGGGGTGATGGGGTACAGGGGTTAGTGTGTGTGATAGGGAGCCAGTGGGGGCTGGCGAGGGCTGGGGTGATGGGGTACAGGGGTTTAGTGTGTGTGATAGGGAGCCAGTGGGGGCTGGCGAGGGCTGGGGTGATGGGGTACAGGGTTTAGTGTGTGTGATAGGGAGCCAGTGGGGGCTGGCGAGGGCTGGGGTGATGGGGTACAGGGGTTAGTGTGTGTGATAGGGAGCCAGTGGGGGCTGGCGAGGGCTGGGGTGATGGGGTACAGGGGTTAGTGTGTGTGATAGGGAGCCAGTGGGGGCTGGCGAGGGCTGGGGTGATGGGTACGGGGTTTAGTGTGTGTGATAGGGAGCCAGTGGGGGCTGGCGAGGGCTGGGGTGATGGGGTACGGGGGTTAGTGTGTGTGATAGGGAGCCAGTGGGGGCTGGCGAGGGCTGGGGTGATGGGGTACGGGGTTAGTGTGTGTGATAGGGAGCCAGTGGGGGCTGGCGAGGGCTGGGGTGATGGGGTACAGGGGTTAGTGTGTGTGATAGGGAGCCAGTGGGGGCTGGCGAGGGCTGGGGTGATGGGGTACAGGGGTTAGTGTGTGTGATAGGGAGCCAGTGGGGGCTGGCGAGGGCTGGGGTGATGGGGTACAGGGGTTAGTGTGTGTGATAGGGAGCCAGTGGGGGCTGGCGAGGGCTGGGGTGATGGGGTACAGGGGTTAGTGTGTGTGATAGGGAGCCAGTGGGGCTGGCGAGGGCTGGGGTGATGGGGTACAGGGGTTAGTGTGTGTGATAGGGAGCCAGTGGGGGCTGGCGAGGGCTGGGGTGATGGGGTACAGGGGTTAGTGTGTGTGATAGGGAGCCAGTGGGGGCTGGCGAGGGCTGGGGTGATGGGGTACAGGGGTTAGTGTGTGTGATAGGGAGCCAGTGGGGCTGGCGAGGGCTGGGGTGATGGGGTACAGGGGTTAGTGTGTGTGATAGGGGAGCCAGTGGGGCTGGCGAGGGCTGGGGTGATGGGGTACAGGGGTTAGTGTGTGTGATAGGGAGCCAGTGGGGCTGGCGAGGGCTGGGGTGATGGGGTACAGGGGTTAGTGTGTGTGATAGGGAGCCAGTGGGGGCTGGCGAGGGCTGGGGTGATGGGGTACAGGGGTTAGTGTGTGTGATAGGGAGCCAGTGGGGCTGGCGAGGGCTGGGGTGATGGGGTACAGGGGTTAGTGTGTGTGATAGGGAGCCAGTGGGGGCTGGCGAGGGCTGGGGTGATGGGGTACAGGGGTTAGTGTGTGTGATAGGGAGCCAGTGGGGCCGGGCGAGGGCTGGGGTGATGGGGTACAGGGGTTAGTGTGTGTGATAGGGAGCCAGTGGGGCTGGCGAGGGCTGGGGTGATGGGGTACAGGGGTCAGTGTGGGTGAGGGGGAGCTGGTGAGGGCTGGCGAGGGCTGGGGTAATGGGGTACAGGGGTCAGTGTGTGTGATGGGGGGCAGTGGAGCCGGGCGAGGGCCGGGGTAATGGGGTACAGGGGTCAGTGTGTGTGATGGGGGGCCAGTGGGGCTGGCGAGGGCTGGGGTGATGGGGTACAGGGGTTAGTGTGTGTGGTAGGGAGCCAGTGGGGGCTGGCGAGGGCTGGGGTGATGGGGTACAGGGGTTAGTGTGTGTGATAGGGAGCCAGTGGGGGCTGGCGAGGGCTGGGGTGATGGGGTACAGGGGTTAGTGTGTGTGATAGGGAGCCAGTGGGGGCTGGCGAGGGCCTGGGTGATGGGGTACAGGGGTTAGTGTGTGTGTGATAGGGACTGGCGAGGGTCTGGGTGATGGGGCACAGGGGTTAGTGTGTGTGATAGGGAGCCAGTGGGGGCGGGCGAGGGCTGGGGTGATGGGGTACAGGGGTTAGTGTGTGTGACAGGGAGCCAGTGGGGGCTGGCGAGGGCCGGGGTGATGGGGTACAGGGGTTAGTGTGTGTGATAGGGAGCCAGTGGGGGCTGGCGAGGGCCGGGGTGATGGGGTACAGGGGTTAGTGTGTGTGATAGGGACTGGCGAGGGCCGGGGTGATGGGGTACAGGGGTTAGTGTGTGTGATAGGGACTGGCGAGGGCCGGGGTGATGGGGTACAGGGGTTAGTGTGTGTGATAGGGACTGGCGAGGGCTGGGGTGATGGGGTACAGGGGTTAGTGTGTGTGATAGGGAGCCTGGCGAGGGCTGGGGTGATGGGGTACAGGGTTTAGTGTGTGTGATAGGGAGCCAGTGGGGGCTGGGGTGATGGGGTACAGGGGTTAGTGTGTGTGATAGGGAGCCAGTGGGGCCGGCGAGGGCCTGGGGGTCGAGGGCTGGGGTGATGGGGTACAGGGGTTAGTGTGTGTGATAGGGAGCCAGTGGGGGCTGGCGAGGGCTGGGGTGATGGGGTACAGGGGTTAGTGTGTGTGATAGGGAGCCAGTGGGGGCTGGCGAGGGCCGGGTCGAGCGGTGAT